TGGATTCCCTTAGCTCAGGGTTGGCTGGGAGAAAAGACTGAGATGGGGTCGAGGGTTTCTTACCAGTCAACGCAAAGATCGTGGCGGCGGTTTTTGTTTTTTTCGACGGCACAAATTCCAGCGACGGGGATGTTGGGCCGATAATGAGCGACGGATCAATTTTTCCGGGTTGAGAAGCTCTGTCATCTTTCACGGCGGGGCTTGTCTCCTCCAAAGGTGCATCTTCCAACGACAGAGTCTCGAGAATGAGCGGCGGGTCCTTGATGGCGGTTGAAGAATCGCCGGCGACTGAGACCGCCAGAGGGTCCTTGGTGACGGGAGAACCGCGATCTGAGATACCGGCGGCGGGATTTATAGTGGTGTCTGATATATCGGCGACGGGAGCTTCAAAGACTGTCATCTTGCCTTCTTCTAACAGAGGGTTTCTACGCAGATATTCCTTCACTATTTGCTGAAAATCTTGAAGCAAAAATAGCTTGGAAAAATCTTGAGGTGGAATTGACTGAGGATGGGAGAAAATGGACGGGGTTTGGTTGAGGGGCTGGGAAGTTGAAGGTGGTGAGGGGTGGGGTTGCGCCATGAAAACGGTCGGTTGGTGAGCCCGGTGGCCCGGGGGAAGGCCGCCGGCGGCGGCGACCGGTGGCGACTATGCGGTGGTGGAAGGGAGGCTGACGGTGGAGGTGAAGAGGGAAAATACTAGAGAGAGAAATGTAGAGAGAAGTGAGAGCATTTTTCTCTGTAGGCTGGCGTTTGTTGTTGCTAGGTTAGTTATTTGTAGCTGCTAGGTTAGTTGAATTTTGTTGCTCGGTTAGTTGTCTTAAGTTGCTAGGTTATTTCTTTCTTGCTGCTAGGTTAGTTGTCTTTTATTGCTAGGTTAGTTCTTTCTTGCTGCTAGGTTAGTTGTCTGATGCTGCTAAGTTAGTTGTCTTTTGTTGCTAAGTTATTTCTTTCTTGCTGCTAGGTTAGTTGTCAATGGGTCAACGCTGGAGTCAACGTTGGAAGTCAGCGGTCAACACCGGAGTCAATGTCGGAAGTCAACGATTTTCATCGGAAGTCAACGTCGGAAGTCAACGGTCAATGCCAGAGTCAATGGTCAACACCGGAGTCAACTAATAATTATTTTATTATTTAATTAATGTATATTTTAATTGATTTTGATCTAGACAAAATGAGTGGCTCAGATTGAGTCTCACGTACTCATTTTAAGGAGCGGTCTCATTGGATCCGTCTCCTATATATATATATATATATATATATATAAATGTATGGGATCTTTAGGGTTTAAAGTGAAGCCGGTAAGATCTCATGTTTAATCATGGAAATCTTGTGGATTCTGGAACATATGAGTGTCCTTGTGATGCTGGTTTTGACCTTGTGTCATTTGGAGGTCTAGATTTTGAGTTATGAATATTTGGACTTGTTGCTGCAGTTGTTTGTAAAATTCGTGATAAATCGAGTTGTTATCAATAAATTCTAAAATTTAGTATGTTGTTCCTCTGATGTGTGGTCATTGTGTATAAATTTCCAAATTCTTGGAATCCATTTGCTAGGGTAAATGGTTATTTGAAAGTTTCTGCTCAAACTTGCTTAAATCATGTAAAATCAACCCCTTGCTGAAAATCGACCCCTTGATGGATTTTTTATGAAAACGTGATTTCTGCTGAATCTTGAAATAATTGCTACAAATCGTGTGTTTAATGTTTGGAGCTGAAAATTGTATATGTTGATCCTCACATACTGTAAGTGATTGTGTAAAAATTTCAGGACTTAAATTGTTCATTAGGTCAGACTTTATGGCTGAGATTTTGTGATATTGTTATGTTCAGTGATGAGAATTTGGTGTTAAAATTTCAGAACCTAACTCGTTCATTTGCCCGTTCAACTAGAAAATGAGAGTTAATTGTCAATTTGCTCGAAATATTGGATGCATATGTTAACTTTTGAATTTTGGCATGATTTTTAATATATGATGTCCTCCTTTCATGTTTTATAAATGGTGTGAATTTCATGTTAAGTGGCTGAGTATATTATGAAATGGCCTTTTTGTGTGTTTTTCCTTTTTGGTTTGAGTCGAGTCGAATGTTCCATAATTCCACGAGAACTTCCCACGAGCCACTTAGTCGACGAATTTGACTAAGTTTGTGTGATCATTGGACTTGTTGTAATCGAGAGGTCATCTTGATTTTGTGTAGGTGTTCCGAGGTGTTGACCTCAAACCCTATCCTTTCGAGCTTTGTTTGTGCATTGTCGCTGCTTTTAGGTGGGTACATTTACGTTGTATTTATAATTATCGCACTCGTTATTTCGTATAAATGTTTGTCTCGATAGCCTTTATATGCGTGAGAACCCTAGTCTAGGTGTCCCATTGATAGTGCCTTAGACAAATGCATAAACAGTGAGAGGTCGTCTGCCCGTTGCTATTCTGGAGGTGGACGCCCTGATCCATGTGGTTTTCGAGGGGGAAAAACAGCTCCACTGTCTCCTAGAAAGGATCCCATGCTCAGTGTGTGGTTCGGGGTGGGAAGGTTTCCAGTTACATCATTGCCGATGTCTGGTCGGAAGGTTTGTTGTATGTACATAGGAGGTTTGCGATAGGGCCAAGTAGGGAGTTAGACCTGGATTCTATGTATACATTATTTATGGTTTTGAATCTTTATGCGGGATATACTATGCGATAATGGTGAGCATAATGGTTTGCTCACCCCCATTACTTTTCTCCTTGTCTCCTCTTCCTTTCTTTAGGTTGAGCATGGCTGGCGGCAACGGCGTGAAGACGATCGAGTGGTGGTCATTTGTCGATTGTGTTCTCGTTATCTTATGCTTCCGCCTATTTATGATTTTGTTGAACTGTTGATTTTGACTTTGATTATTTCCTGCTTTGATTTGGATACATTGATATTGTCGGGTTGAACTTTTGGAATTATGTTTAACTTTCTAGTTGGTTTTGGAACTTAATAAACAATTTGGTTTAAATTTATATGAATATGTGTTTATGCATGTATAACTCAAATCTATGTGTTCGTATTTTGTTTAATTGTTCTGGGTAGATAAGTAGCGCCCATTGAAAATTAAATTTTAATTTGAGATTTGTGAAAATTTTACTCTGATTTTTATAAATAAATTCGGTAAATTCCTTAAAATAAAATGGAGCGTTACACATCAAATGGTAAAGTTGAAACAAAATCGATTTATAGTCGGTTACAAATGACAAAACCTTGTCGATTCAATATTGGCAAGGCAGAGAACGCAGAAAGACAGAATATAAAACGCCATATGTAACCTCGACTATGGCAAACTTAAACTCAAACTCATCAAGTTCACCCACATCTAGTCGTGAATTCGTCGAGTAGTACCTCTGGCTGCACAAAGACATGCTCACTTTCTCTCTCTGGACACGCCAGACGAAAGTTGTCGCCATGTCATCAAGCGCTTGAAGTGCCTTTGCGTCTATCAAAGAAACAAAAGAACTTATCCCTAGTGAATTCCTCGAGTCTTACCCCTCCATCAACAGAGGCCACGATTTCAAGAAGCCCCCAATCACCTCTGGCGACGACTTCGAGAAACCAACACAAGTGAGTGTTGGGTTTGCTATACCGTACGAGTTGAAACGCAGTGGAAATAGAATGAAATAAACAAGCATTTATCGAATAAATACTAAACCCCTCGGCTCACGTAGCGATTGTAATGATCTGTATCTTTTAAAATCACGCAAAAGTACGAATTTTGATTTGTAGAGAATTTCTAAAATTACAATTAGATTTCTTCAAATAGCGAAGATGAAGAGAGAATCAGTTCCCTTGTATATGGCAATGGCCGTCTTCATTCGTCTTGTCATAGGGACCCACGTGTATCCCCTCTAAGCAAGTCCACCTTTTATATTATGACTCCGTAATCAATGTCTTCGCTAGTAGAATTGTCCCGAGGATAAATTAGTATAAAGAATCAATTAAGAGAGGAAAAGTTTTTTTCTTTTTATATATTTTTATACTCTTCTCGCGGAACATAAAAATGAGTCCTTATGTTTTATGTTACTTGATATCATATGCCAAATACGTGTATGTGTATGGAGTTCACTTGGAGCAGTTCACAGAGCGTATTCGCAGACCTCGCTGTCAGGCTGAAGGTTTTTCCTTGGTGCAGTTTATAGATTTAATCGCAGACCTCCAAAGAAGGTCGAGCACTTCCAATCGTCGAAGGTAGGTCGAAATTGACGACCAAGATTGATCAAGAAAGTGGAAACGACAAGCAGATTAAAATGTGATACTACAGGGTTGAATTTTAAATTTTGAACTCAGGGGCGACAGGACGAGGTGATCGAAAAGATTTATCTTTGAGCGAAGAGAACTCCAACATGGTGGTTGAAAAACAACAAAAGTGAGTTTAAATTTTCAAATTCAAGATTCAGGTAGAAATCGAGAAAATCTATCAATGTATCATGGATGTCTGTTTGTCCCATTTTTGTTTCATTTTTCGTGTTTGATTTGCCTTTCTTTTTCCCCTAAAATAGGTCATCTCGTTCGTTTTTAGTTTGTTTTGTGCTTTGTTTCATGTTTTACTCTATTTGGAGTTTTTCTTTGTTTTTCGGTCGTTTCTCGGTTCTCTCCGCTTTTGTTTTTGTTTCTGGTGTGCAAGTTAGGAGTTTTGGGAAGATTTATTTTGAAGGATGAATTAGCCGCGTGAGTACAATTAATTAGAAGAGCTCGTTGGCGACAAGCAGGAAAAAACGGAAATCAATTCCGAGTCTAGACGAGCTCGAACGGGCCCGACACGCAAAGTCGAGCGGGCTTCCCATCAACTCCCCCCAGGCTCGCGCCACACCTCCGTCGTGCCGCTGCGCCTGCCGCGACCCCGACAGAGTCTCCAGGCTTCCCAGCGCCATGCCTGCGCTCCTGCCAGCGCCAGGCCCGCACTGCTCCCTCGCGCCGTGGTACACGCCCCTCTCCTCGCCCGCACCACACACCACTCCCACGGTACATATCTCTCTCCGCGCCGCGCCACCTTCCGCGCCCAGCATCACGCGGGAATAGAATACGCCCAGCACACCGCACGCCCGCGTCACCACACCACGCCGTGGCAGCCAGCCCCTCCGCGCTCGCGCTTCCCTGCTGCGCCACGCCACATGGATCCTCCACGCCGTGCCACTATTTCTTCACGCCATGTCGCCTACTGCCTATATATACGTACGAGATCGATCAGATCGAGACATCTCTTATTCCACGAACAGAAAACCCTAAGCCCCGTCTCTTCTCTACTTATTTTTCTCTTCTTCTTCTTCTTCATAATTTTCATCCTAGAACACAAGATTGAACTTGGATTTCTTCACTGCTTTTTGGATTTAAGCTTGTTTATCGGATTTAACCTTGGGATTTTATCAATCGTAAGATTTTTCTTTTCATTTAACCTATGAATATGCTTGTCTTGATTGTTGAGATTGCTAATGTTGAATCGATTATAAGAGGCGATTATGAGAGGCTAAATCTTATTGCTAGGGAATATGGGATTAATGTGTTGGATTTGTTTGTGATTGTGGTGTTCGTTGATCGTTCTTTTATGCAAGTTGATCTTTCAAAAGGGTTTTTCAATTATTACGCTTGAATATTGAGAATTGTTGAGGGGTGACACTTCAATTTCCAATTGAGTTACAATTGAATTTGATTTATTCTCGTATGATGTTGGTTATTATTATTGATTAGCCGGTTAACAACCCTCTAGTCTAATTTAATCGACTATTAGAACCAAAATAGGAGGAGTCGGTCGAAATAGGCTCGTATAAACTAGGCTTGTTCGTAACTGTGTTGCTTAGGTGTTAAATGAATCGTTAATTTGCCGTTCACGTATGTCCTTTTGTTACAAAAAGTTATTGAGGACGAATCTCTGAACGAGTAGGTTACTCGAATCATTTAGCCGAACGATCACCTGCCCGAAAATTGCATTTCGAACCAAAACGAATATCCTCGACTCCCTAGATTCTTTAATCTTACCTGTTCATCGTCTTGCTTTGAAATTTCTATTTGCTTTATTTGAAGTTCTTCTTAGTTGATAATCAAACCTAATCATCTGAATTATAATGTTTAGGAATTTTATTTCTTCTTTTTGTGTTTGAATAAACGTGCAACTTAATCCGACTAACCTTCCACGTCAGATCGACCCGGGGAACGAATCTTTTGATTCGGTACTCGATAAAAAAAAATAATTTGCTACAACAATGTCCAAGTAAGCAGGTTTAGAGATATCAACGGAAGGTTGACATTGCAAAATGAGGAGCAAATGAATGTACTCTAGGAATCACGATTCGACCTGAATGTGGCATTAGGTCATTCGGTTTTCGACCTCAGAGGTAGGTCATTCGGTTTTATCAACAGGTCACTTAGTTTTCGACCTTATTGATAGGTCACTCGGTATTTGACCTCATCGGCAGGTCACTCGGTATTCGATCTCAGTGATAGGTCAATCCATTTTCGACCTCAGTTGTAGGTCATGCAGTTCTCGACCTCATTGGCAGGTCATTCGGTATTCGACCTCATCGGCAGGTCACTCGGTTTTCAACTTCAGTGGAAGGTCTTTCGATTCTGTACCTCATTATGGCAGGTTATTCGGTACACGACCTCAGTGGAAGGTCATTCGGTGGTCAATGGGCATATTTGGTGTTTCATTTGATGGTTATTCAGATTATTCGAATGTCATGCAGATCATTCGATGTTCATTTGGTGAGTATTTAGTAGTCGAGGATTTATTCAAAATATAACCTCAGTGGCAGGTTGTCGGAAATAGCCAGAGGACGCATTTCACTCTTAGATCGAGTTATGCTTACTCGACCAGAGTGGGGGCACAACATGATATGGGATGTTATACTAGACCGGTTTTAATGCATATGAAGGAAAATATTGGAGATAAACCTACACATGGGCTAGGACACATGGCATAATGGTATTGGTCAAGACCAACTTGGACACTAAGGTACACCTCCCCTATAAAAGGGGCCTATGCTTCTTTAAAACCTAATTTCTCTACATTTATTACAATACTCCCATAGTGCACTCTTTATCTCTGGCGAGTGCTGACTTAAGCATTGGAGGCTCGATGCTGGGACCTCCTACCCCCCGACGTTGAGTTCTTGCAGGTACGGAAGTCGTCCGAGTTGAAAGAGCCCGGGTGAAATCCATTCCAGACCGCGACACAGCCCTGCGGGGGACAATGCAGACATTGTTTCTTGTAGGGCGCGTACAGTTTAACACTGTTCGGAATATGCCAAGCGGCACGATTGGAAACGATGTCACCATTGGAGACTAAACTCGGAATCGTTCTAAGGCCAAAGAGGGTGGTCAACAACCACCTATAAGGAGGTCGTCGCCAATAGCCGTCTGGGCAACTGGTAGCTTGTTCGACGTCTAAATCAGCCTGGGACTTTTTTGGATAAGAAGGACCCTCATTTGTCCATCAGTGTTACCAGCGAGGACTTCGTTTACTCGCTTTGGATCGATGGATTCAGTTGATGAAGATATGCATAGTGAATTTAAAACTAAGAAAAAATAATTAAAATCTTACCAAGGTACAAATGAATTGAAACGGGGATGATAGTCGGACTGCTCTCCTATTCGGTATTTTCCTCTCAAAGATGAGTGGATTCACGGCTAGGCAAGTGCGTAAAATGTAATACGGGAGAGACTTCCACTATATAGGCTTTGGGACTGCCAATAAAATGGCACCACGTTTGAAACAAACCAATAGGGAGACGCCATGTAGGGAGTAGTGCAACAGGCGTATAAAGTTGAGGGGACGCATATGGCCCCACAATTGACATTACAAATAGCCACGAGGCATGTGTCCCATGAAGCGAATAAGGCTACCGCTTTGTTTAATAGACGAGAGTTTTCATGAAATCGTATTACATTCGCCATGCCCTGGTGGCCTAATAATGATGACAAAAACAATGATGATGTCGTAACAGTTCAGCTTATCCCGAATAAAAGACAATCACGAATATCTCGTTCGGCCGACCAATGTTGGTCATATGGAGTTCATAGATCGACAACTTCACGTCTCTAAAGATTGGGAGCATGTATGTTGATATCTGAACTTCTCCTCCAACGGAGATGCGACACGTAAGAAGTTTTGAAAAAGTGATTAAGAGAGATTGGTATCGAAATACTGCCGAGATTAAGTAGAGTCTACTATACACGGTAATGTGACGAAAAAATCGAACAACTCAGCTCGGGCAACTGAAGGTGCATTGATAGGGATGTGACAGCTAACCTCTGGAATGTCTAAAACACGTGTCGTCACCCCCTGCTCAGATCAAGGTCGAGATTCAGACCGTAATCATTAGATAATAAATGTTGTTGTACTTTCCCGAAATAGAAAAATATCCTGTACTTGTACTACACACACAAACAGTGTCTAGAAGTACTTCGTGTATAAATAGGCGCAAAGGCCAAAATGTAAGGATCTCTTGGAAGATCCAACAAAAAATCCAAGGGAAAAGACCAAACTTCAGTTGAGTTCGGTAACCTACATACAAAGAAAATCTTACATACATAAACAGTTGTTGTAACTAATTCTTATAACAATAAGGGATCCATATTTAAAGACTTAAATTCGAAGACTTGACTAAGTAAAATTTATTTTTGCATGATCTCAAGAATTCAAAATGTATTTCAATCCATTTTCCGTAATTCTCAAAGAAAACAAACTTACTGGTCCTGAAATCTATAACTGGAGAAAGAACTTGGATTTTGACAAGTCGATCACCATGGCTGAGGGCACTCCCCTAAAGGAACATGTCCTTAAGCTAATGGAGCAGCTCGATCAATTAAGATTCTATGGAGTTGACATGGATGAAATATCCAAGGTTGATGTCATACTATTTTCGATAATTAAAGAACTCAAACATCTTTGTTACCGTTATGGCATTTAAATTTATCACTTGCCAGTGATAGAGTTAATTGGGGAACTTGAGGTAGCATAATGGGTTCTCAAAGATGAAAGTGAGATGCTTCTCGCTGAGCAGGCAGAAGCCTCATCTTCCAAATCCGTATGGATAAAGAGGAAGATATGTCCTACTCAATAGGCAGAAGAGACATTCGTAGCAACGCGATCAGGACACCACTACGTTGAGTACCCTCTCCCCGACAAGGGCAAAGAAGGTAAATCACTTTCATTAGTCGTGAAAACATGTTTAGCAATATTATCTAGCTACCAGTAATTTGTGCATAGATGCAGGAGCCACTAATCATGTCTGCAACTCATTGCAGGGGTTCCAGGAAAACCAAGCGTCTAAGGGAAGGAGAGTTTACCGTCTACATGAAAAACGTTAGAAAAGCGTTGGCTGTTGTAGTGGAAGATGCTTATTAAGCTTTGGATTAGATAGGGTTTTAGTTTTGAAGGATTGTCTTTATGTGCCTAGTTTTAAAAAGAACTTAATTTCAGTTTCTAAGTTGTTTGCAAATGGTTTCTCTGCTACTTTTGATAATAAAGTTATTATTCATTTTGGCAAAAATATTATTCGTGATGGATCATTAATGGACAATCTATATATTCTAGAACCAAGTCTCTTTCATTGCAATACAAACAATTACTTAATTCATTATCTAATCATAATAAGAGGAAAGAACCTTGAAAAATGAACGTAACATATCTTTGGGATCTAAGACTTGGCCATATACACCTAAGGAGAATTAAAAGGTTAGTGGCAGACGGGCCCTTGGGGTCATTAGAATTTGAGGCCTTTTCAACCGATGAATCCGGCCTAGAAGGGAAAATGACTAAGAGGACTTTTAAAAAAAAGGGGCATAGATCCAAAGACTTGTTAGAACTCATTCACTCAGATGTATGTAGTCCTATGTCACTCTAAGCGAGAGGAGGATTCGAGTACTTCGTTACCCTTATCATATTACTCGAGGTTCGGGTACATTAATCTATTGCATCGCAAGTCTGAGTGCTTCAAGAAATTCTTGGAGTATAAGGAAACTGTGGAGAAGCAACTAGGTAAAAGTATCAAGTCATTACAATCAGATCGTGGTGGCAAATATCTCTCGGCTGAGTTTAGGAACTACTTGACAGAGAATGGGATTCAATCCCAACTGACTGCGCCTGATACGCCTCAACAGAACGGTGTGGTAGAGCGGAGGAATATGACTCTTATGGAAATGGTTAGATCAATGATGAGTTACAATACTTTACCTGATTCATTTTGGGGATATGCTCTGGAAACAACAATTCACATTCTAAACTTAGTACAATCTATGCCCATGGAGTTGTGGACTGGGTGTAACTCTAGTCTAAGATAGCTCCATATATAAGGTATTCTAGCACATGTGCTGAGGATGGATACTAATAAGGTGGAGCCACGTTCATAAGTGAGCCTGTTTGTGGGACACCCTAAGGAAACGAAAGGTGGTCTATTTTATAGTACCAAGGACCACAAGGCAATCGTTAGTACAAACGTTAGGTTTTTGGAGGAATACTATGTTATGGAACATAAGCCCAGTAGTAGACATGTCCTAGAAGAGATAAAGCACCTCATGTTACACCACATAATACTGCAACACGTATCACCGACGATACACCTGTGCCGGTAGTACCTCGTCGTAGTGGGAGGGTTGTCAGGCAGCTCGATCAATTTTTGTTTCTAGGAGAGTCTTCTGAGACCGTCCCAGATGGACTTTAAATCGACCCACGGACCTATGATGAGGCACTCCAAGATCGGGACACAGTGTCTTGGCAAAGTGCGATGGGCTGTTAAGATAGAGTCAATGGACTCAAATCAGGTCTAGGATCTTGTAGAGCCACCCAATGGTGTTCGCTCCATTGGATGCAAGTGGGTCTATAAGATAAAGAGAGGATCAGATGGGATAGTCGAGACCTTGAACGTTAGGCTTGTTGCGAAAGAGTATACTCAGAAAGAAGAGATAGATTATGAGGAAGCTTTTTCACCGGTAGCCATTCTCAAATCCATCAGGATACTCTTGGATGTAACCATTCATATAAATAATGAGGTCTGGTAGACGGATGTTAAGACCGCTTTCCTTAGCTGGAATTTGGACGAGGACATCTATATGCAGCAGCCAGAGAGTTTTATTGCAAAAGGACGAGAGCATCTGGTCTGTAATCTGGACCGGTCCATTTATGGACTGAAGCAAGCTTCGCAGTCTTGGAACATCAGTTTTGACGAGGTTGTCCCGTCGTATGGAATTACCGAATGTACGGATGAGCTCTGCGTGTACAAGAAAAGTGATGATGGTGGTGTTTTTTATGCTATACATAGACGACATTCTTCTCATTGAAAACAGTGTGAAGAAGTTATCAGACGTGAATGTATGGTTATCCAAGTAGTTTTATTGAATGATTTGGGAGAAGTAGGACACATTCTCATGATCAAGGTCATCCGAGACCGTAAGAAGAGAATGTTGTGATTTTCTCAGTCCACATACATAGATACTGTCTTGGAGCGTTTCAACGTGTAGAAATTAAAGAAAGGGAAACTACCCCATCGACATAGAATCCCACTGTCTAAGAGGATGTCTCCCAAGACACCTAGAGAGATGGAGGACTTGAAAGTGGTTCCTTATGCATCGGTAGTAGGTAGCCTTATGTATACAATTGTGTACGCGGCCAGATATATGTTATGCCGTGGGCATGGTAGCCAGATATCAAAGTAATCTAGGACTGGAGCATTGGATTGCGGTGAAGCATATATTTAAGTACCAGAGAAGGACTAAGGAGTATATGTTAGTTTACCGAGCATACGAGTTGCTCCCATTAGGTTGCACTGATTCTGATTTCCAATCAGATCGGGATAAAAGTAACTCCACCTCTGGGTTTTTGTTTACTCTAGGAGGAGGAGCCAAAGTTTGGAAGAGTGTTAAACATAAATGCGTTGTAGACTCCACCATGGAAGTTGAATATGTCGCAGCCTCAGAGGCAACAAAGGAAGCGGTATGGGTCAGAAATATCTTGTTAGACCTTGACGTGGTACCGAGTTTTCCCGCTGCAATCACAGTTTTCTGTGACAACAACGGAGCAGTAGCAAACGCGAAGGAACCAGGAACTCATAAAGCGAGTAAACACATAGAGTGCAAGTACCACCTGATACGAGAAATCGTTGGACGATGGGAAGTCATTGTTGCTAAGATAGCATCAGAGGACAACCTAGAAGATCCTTTTACAAAGAGCTTACTTGCGAAGGTCTTCGACCGACATGTAGAAGGAATTAGAGTCAGGTGTAAGGGCGACTAATTAGACTATTTATTGAGAATTAGATTGAAAAAAGATATACTTAATAATAGTCGAAAGCTTTATAGATTATAATTGGGAGATTAGTAGGCTATACTGTAAAAGCTCGGGTTTCAATTTCTAACATACCATTTTGAAATGACCATAATGATTTGGTCAAGTATTTATGTTCGCATTTTATTTATTTATGCGTGCATAAGTTCCTTGATTTTATATTGTAGATAATATGGTTCGATGTGTCGAACAGAAAGATCATATTATCGATTCCTTGTAAAATATAAATAATTAATTCACAGTCTATACAAAATTGATCAACCTCTTGGTAAACGACTGTAGTGTAATTTTTGATTCAGTTGATGTTTGACTGATGAATTACATTAGTACTTTGTAAGTATAGACATATTATTTGAATACTGGCGAAGTAAATAATCTGGACCTCAGTATTGATGCGTAATCTTAAGTCGTAAGATAATAAACGGGCATATATACTCATCACTTCTTTATTTGATCTACTAAGGTTGATTCCTATTTTATTAGGATGACATACTCGTTATTTTGGTAAATGATGATATTTATATGATGTGATGTTAAAATTAGTTACGGTCACTATGTCCCTGTCTGCTGGGTTGATGACGTCCTCGAAATGAGCTCAGGAAGGAATAAAATGTTAAGCACTGCAGGCAGATTAAAGTCCAATATAATGATTAAGGAACTGAGTGGTACTAATTTTGGATACGAGAGATACAAAAAATGATTAGTTCTATTGTCAGTAATTAAATTAATCAATGGATGTTATATATTAAACATAGGGATGATAAATCGATAAATTAAGTTAATTAATTATGTAGGGGGTTTGAATTTACTGAATAAATTGGAGCTAAATAGGGAGATTAATAATATTACTCTAGTGGAATGTTTTATTATTTATTCAAATAGAAGAAAGAATTAACTTATCTTCTAGAATTTTCTTAAGTAGAAGTATATAATTCTTTCTAGAATATTACCTTGGAAGACATGGAAGTCTTCTAGAACGGGTAATTATATATGTTGGAAAGGATTATTACTTCTAGAAGGGAAGGAGTTGGAAGATATTAGGTTTCCTAACTCTAATTGGAGAAGCTCATATTCAGCACCTCCTGAAGATCCTTAATGTAGCTTATAATAGGAGAAAGAATTAAATTATCGCATACATGAGGCTTCTTATTGCCGATGCATAAGGAAATGCCTTCATGTCTTCTATCTCTTGAGGAGACTTCGAGGACATCTTATTAGATAGA